CACACACACACACACACACACACACACACACACACACACACACACACACACACACACACACACACAGAGATGAAGCAGATCAGCACAAGTGACAGACGCGTCTCTGGATGAGCTTGATCGCTCGCTCCGCTTCGTGTAAGGCTAACCCTGCTGTGTGAAGTGCTGTTTGTGCATTAGTGAATGTTTCGGCAGTTCCCACAATCCTCTGTGGCTGTGAACTCTTGACGGACCTCTGCCCATGTGCTGGGCCTGGCTGACCTCTGACCCCTGGTGTAGTGTGACGTGGTGATGCTGGAGCTCCCTCATCTGGTCAGTTTGTAGGAGTGCTGGAGCTGCTCTGAGATCAGCTTGAGTGTGTTTCTCCATGATCTGAGTGTCTGCTCTGCTGTGCATCTCTCCGGCTGGTTGACCTCCTCTGTCCTTCACACACACACACACACACACACGAGCCTTCACACACTTCAAACTTCTTTAATTCTGTTCCTGAAGTGAAGCGCACACACGGCGGCAGATTAGGGCAGGATTAATGCTGTTTTCAGCCGTGTCTGTTATCGCCGTTTGTGTCCGCGTGGAGTCGCGTGTGTTTCCGTCCTCTGGGGGGCGCCGCCGCTGCTGGCGTTCAGTGTAATTTAGCTGCCGCTCACTCGCTGGGCTCATATTAATACATTGAGGGAGCAGGGAGCGTCTGGGGAGCTTCAGCATTGTCTCACTGTCACCGCGCTGTTGAACGGTAACAGAGTAAAGCGGGTTAGCCTCACCAGGGGCCCGTTAGCCCCGGCGCCGTGATGAAGTGTATTGTCCGCATGTAGCGCGGGTGTAATTAATGACAGGCGGACGCAGCCGCGGCGAGCAGCTTTCAGCACAAGCAATTAAGAAATTATTTACTGCAGGTGTCGAACCAGCCCGGATATCTGTGCCGTATCTGTGGAGAGACGCCAACCCATGGAGACACACACATGAGCCTGTTCATCAGAGACAGAACAGAGCACAGCGGACGCGCTCGAGCCCGAGACTATGCTGTACACTACACACACACACACACACACACACACTCACACTCACACACACATGTCTGTTACCAGCGTGGCTCATATCCAGAGCTGCATCAACTGCTGAACATTCATATCTGCTCACGTGTGTGTGTGTGTGTGTGTGTGTGTGTGTGTGTGTGTGTGTGTGTGTGTGTGTGTGTGTGTGTGTGTGTGTGTGTGTGATGTGGACAGGTCAGAGCTGGATGTCTATGTGTTTAATCTGCAACAGTTAAGAGTTGAATCCATCAGATTGGAGCGGCCCCGTGTTCAGTGTTCAGTGTGGCCCTCCAGCTGGACCCGTGTGTGTTTGGGGGCCCGTCTGTGCCTGTGTTCTCTGACTCTCAGGTGCCTGGGTTGATGTACTGAGCGCTGGAAGTGAGATGTCAGCTGTGTGTGTTTGAGAGCTGTGGGTGTATAGTGCTGCTGTGGAGGTTATGGGTCAGGCTGGTTTGATGATCTTGATCCTGCTTTATCAGAGTTTTAGGTTATGCAGATATTTATCTGACACATCACACACTTTCAGGAAGACCTTTACTAACCCAAGCCCAGGTTTCTCCACATGCTCAAGCTTCAGCTCTTGATTATCTGCCCTGCGGTGGTGTGTCTCTCCGTCTGAGTTCTGTCTTTAAGGTTTGCTTGTGGTGGAGATTCTGCTCCAGCAGGAGTGTTTACATGCAGACAGTAGTGTGGAGCACATCTCGGGCTGCTGTGTGTGTGTGTGTGTGTAAGCGCAGTAATGATCTCGTCTACAGGTGTGTATCTGCAGGGCAGTGTGCGCTCCTCTGTCAGGTAATAATGCTCCTCCAGCTCAGAGATCTGCCCGCGGCGGCGCCCGCGCTCTGTAGCTGTCTGAAGCGCACCGACGGCCTGATGAAAGACCAGACGCTCTCAGTGGAGCTCGTCCACCAGCGCTCACACACACACACACACACACACACACACTGCAGTCAGGTATTGATCAGTTGTCTGAATGTGCAGACAAAAGAAACTGCGCCTCTGTGCCAAACGTGCAGGAACACAACAAACACACAGCTAAAGTCCGGCTGTGTGTGTGTGTGTGTGTGTGTGTGTGTGTATAATGTTCTCTAATGTGTGTGTGTGTGTGTGTGTGTGTGTATAATGTTCTCTAATGTGTGTGTGTGTGTGTGTGTATGTGTGTATGATGTTCTCTAATGTGTGTGTGTGTGTGTGTGTGTATATGATGTTCTCTAATTTGTGTGTGTGTGTGTGCGTGTGTGTGTGTGTGTGTCACACACACACACACACACTGCAGTCAGGTATTGATCAGTTGTCTGAATGTGCAGACAAAAGAAACTGCGCCTCTGTGCCAAACGTGCAGGAACACAACAAACACACAGCTAAAGTCCGGCTGTGTGTGTGTGTGTGTGTGTGTGTGTGTCCCGCAGCTGTCTGAATGCCTGCACCTACTGTAAAACTAAGCACGCTCGTGGAGATCTGGCCAGTTACCCGGTGGAGGAGCTGGTGGAGCGGGTCAGACAGTCCTTCCAGGGTGAGTCTCTGATGTTATTCTGCGTTTATTTTTATTATTGGTCTCTTC